CACACACACACACAGAGGTTTCAGAACCCCCCTCACCCTTCTGCAGACTGCAAATGTACATCCAAATAGGCTGAGAGCAAATGGAACAAATAAAGATGATAGGTGGCGTTCACCCCTAAAAAAACAAAGTACACCCCTACAACCCCTCCCCCCCCCTTCCGGCCCAAAATGCAGGGGTTCTAGTTTTTCAATAAAATCCTGCAATCAGCCTTCCAACCTACAGAGCAACAAAGTGGAATCTCACTCAAGCAAGCTCTGATCCTAGTAAATTCCAATATACGAGGCAGCGCCCATCTATCAACGGAAAATCATGTAGAGAAAACATAAAGACTAGTTCTTTCCTATTTGCAGAACAAAGAAAAATCACATCGCATGCATATATCTAACAGCTATTATAGCTCCGGTAATCCAACACAAACTGTGGCCAGAGATATTCAAGCTATGATATCGAGATTCCTGTTCTCTCCGCCAGATTTGTAAGGTCAATCACCTTCCTTGCTAATATTACTGTGAAAGAATACCTTTAGAGTCAGGGAACCAAGGTTTTAGCTGTTCTATAGCATGGGCCTTTCTATAGCATGGGCCTTCTCAGGAACAGCTATGTCATTCGATGAGACGACTCAAATTGTTGCCCGCTTCTTTTGTGATATCAATTTGCTCAGAAAGCATGAACAATGAGCTAGTCAAATCCAAAAATAAGACATAAATCTCTCTATTTACAGTAGCAACGGAATTACATATCTGGACAAAAGCTAAACCGGAAAGTGTGTCGTCAAAGGCAAAAAGCTCTAAGGTCCATTAGGGCTTTACGTGTAACACGCAAATAAAGTGTGGGCTTTACTGAAGATAAGCGCAATTGGAGGAATGAAACAAAAATGTACATGTCGTTCAAGGCTAATATTTATAAGCATGAATAACAAAGTATGAACAAAGAAATTGAAAAACGATAAAGTGAAATATCAATTGTTTAGTGCCAGCCTCTTTAGGATTATGCTCATGGGCAAGGAAAAGTATGCCTTAGAGCTTTGATGACGACACTAAAGCGTCCGCTAAGCGAGGCGAAATGTTCAACACGTTTTGAGCCTCACTTCGGGGCTTAAGTGGTGTTTTAAGCGCGCTTTTGGCGACACTAAACTTTCAAAAGCATATCTCTTCATCCTATCGAACCATGACAACTATAACCAATAAAATTTGCTATAGAGAACCGCGGGGAGGATCCCAGTGGATTTGAAGTTCTAACTAGCTCGAGGAGCAAAATGCCAAATGCTGCAACTTCTCACTTGAAGCAGTCTCTTGAAGCAGTGGGTCCAGTTCTCTTAATAAATACCAATTCTAATGAATTTTTCATACATATATATAAGGTTGGAGACCAAAGTTGCAAACTTAGTTCACCCATGTAGAGAGAACACAAGTACACAACACTTTCTCCTCGTATCGACTTTTTATGCACAACCCATCATTGAATAACTGGCAAAAATCCTAATATTTTTTAATGAAGGTGGTGTCCAGGCCAGTTTGCGTGCAAACTGGCTATTCCACTTGTGACCTACTACCTCCCACTAGCACAAGGTACCAAGTAACTATGCCCACCAACGCTTAAGCAGAGGAAAGAAATCACCTAGTGTTAAAATCCTAATAATTGCAAGGCAACAAATCGTATTCACCAAACCCTAGCAAAAAAGCCCTAATATTTCTAGACCCAAAAGCTAATCATAAACTACTTAATAACAGTAAATATCAGAAAAGGCAAACCCAAGATGGGCTAAATCTTACTTACAATATGAATGTCTTCAAACCCAGAAAGAGCGAGGGTTTTAAGCAGCTCACAACCAATACCACCAGCACCAACCATTAGCACTTTAGCACCCTAAAACACACAAAAAACACATAATATTGCACTCCACTTACAGGACCCATAAAGTGAATAGAAAAAAATAATAACCAAAACATCAACGATAACTCAAATTTTATGCTTACTTTAATTGCAGACAACTGTTCCTCAGAAGCCATTGAAAATAGAGAGAAATTCAAGTGATTTGTGAAAACAGTGTAATGAGTTGACTACATAAAACTTTTGAAATAGAAAAGAGAGAAGAGGGGAATGGGGTTCGTATTTGTGAGGAATCGGAAGCGAGAACAGTGGGGAGGAATCTTGACAGACAGACTTTTAGCGGAGGGGTTCGAGGAAAGGGCGCCAAAAGAGAAAAAATTATGTTAATTTGGGAGTGGAAGAACCTCTGGTTCGTGCTGGTCGATTGACTCAACCCTATAGCACTCGGCATAACCTATGTACTTTAATTTTATTTATTTTTTCTCAACTAATGGTATGAATTTGGTTCTACTTTCATTTTCACAAAAAGTTTTATATTATGTATTTGAACTACCTGTACATGTCTTATTATGGCTAATCTTTATAAATAATAAGGTATGTGTGTAACTATTGTAATTTTAGTTTGTTTACGTTGTTAGCAGATTTTTTGATTGACGATTTAAAGCTTATGACTTAAGTTTTATTTAAACTTTATAGTAAAATCGTACATTAAGGAGTTAAAGATTCTTTTTCCATTCTTTTCCATCGATAACTCTGAGACTAGAGATGTTCAAGTATCACTTATTAGATTATCCTTGTATAATGTGTTCAGTTGGTGTAGTTTTAGTTTTAATTATGTCATAAGTTTTGTTGATAAATGATATGAAGTGTAATATTTAGGTTAATTCAAGGCTTTCGGTGTGTCTTACATTATGGAAGTATTGATTGTTTTTTCAATCCTCCGATAACTCCAGGTTGTATGAATGTGTTTCCGTTTATGAAACAAGTTTTATCTCTCGTTCTATTTTGATTTGTGAAATGAAAAAAGCAATAAAATATTTCTTTTATTATGCAACTCTTAAATCGCTTATCATGTATATTTATAACCTAACTAAATATTTAGCTCTATTTTTCAATTGGCATTATTTAGATGTCCAACAATCATTAAAATTATAATTTTAGTGCGTTTTGTAATATGCATTAGTGATCGAAATTTCAAATTGTACAACTGAAAATAAAAAGGCAATATAAATCTATATGGACAAACGAAAATAATATTGTAATCCTATAATATTCTAAATTGGAATGAACTTGGCCGAATTTACAATTTAAGCGGTAAAGTGACCTAACTGTGCTTTTCGAACTGCATACAAATGGCGAAGGACTTTGTCAACACACACGTGCAACTAATTAAGTTAAAACCTTTGTAAATTTTTTTCTTGACAAATGCATGTTTTTAAGTAGAGTATTTGTCAATTTCTCTACACACGTTATAACATATTAATTATTTGTCATTATTATGTTAACACACGTGTTGTTAGTAGGGCAAATACTAGTTTAATTAATCTTTAATCGTGCATAAGATCACATATTTTGTAATCAACACTTGCATTCTTGCTATCCTTTTTTGGCTCGCAACCCATTTAAGACCATAATTTAATTGTACTTCAACAAATTTTGAGTTAAATTAGAAAAAGAATTTTTCAAAAGGAAGTTATAAAAGGGTTGATAAAAGTATCTTTTTGTACTTAACGTTATATACTTTAAAAAAAATTCAACTCAAATTTGCTCAAACCCATGCACCCGTTACCAAGTGCACGAGGCTTTAGACAAGGTTTGTCATGCATGTTGTATTTGATGGACTTTGTATAAAAGAATACTAATAAACAATCATATTCGTCAACCCGACATATTTATAGTCGCAATAAATAATTGGTCCCCTTAAATTTAAGAAAACACAAAACACACTTGAATAGAAGGCAAAAGTCAAAATTGATCATAAAAAAAAACTAATTTTTGCTTTTTATGTTAAATTACTTTTGGCATTCTCTTTAATCTGTTTTAGTATCATTATTTAATTGTAAGGATTTTCTTGTTGTTGGTTATTAACCAGTTTATTTTTCATGCGTGCTCGCGAGAGAGCTACATTTCATGAGGTGAGATAAGTAGCATTACAAAAACTAAATTTAGATATCAATAAGTTAGAATTTTGTATTTTACTTTATAACAAGGAGACCAAAATGAGAAATACGACAAAAAAGTAAAAAAAATCCAAAAATCTTATCATGAGTTGCATGTGTAATACTAATTCGCTATGGCTAAAGTATTACACTCGTTCAATAATTTAAAGCTTTATATCAAAATTATTTTCACACAGTGCACTTTTTCTTCATAATTCACCTTATCGTGACTTTAATAGTTTAATTGCAAGGCACTACGTTTGATAAACCTTTTAACTAAATTATTTATTCTATGCAATTTGAAGAAAAAAAAGGATCAAATTTCTAAAGTAAAAAATTGAAGCAAATTCATACTTGTATAAAATAAATTACTCCGAGTTGGCAACTACGATAGCTGCAATGTATAATTACTAGCCTGTTTTTGGTTCCCGGAAAATATATTGTAGTATATTTTAACGACTATATATGAATTTTGTATTTCATTTTAGTTTACTTATTTGGAGCTTCGTTTCAAATTATCTTATATTTATTTAGTTAGATTAATGATCATCTGTGTAGAAGTTTCATTATATAAAGGATTTACATATTTAGAATTATTAAAATAATATCATACATTCATAAAGAATTTGCATAGTAATAAGTGATTTATTTTGGATTACACGAAATATATGTGCATTTGAATCATACATAGTGGACGTTTGGATATAAGAATTGTGAAATTCCAAAAAAGTGATTCTTTTTTCTTCAAGTTGAGAATGGTATTTGGAAATTGGAGTTGTGTTTGGACATGAATACAATTTGGAGTTGTTTTTGAACTTTTGTGAATTATTTGGAGTAAAATTATAATCAAATTCCGAAATTCAACTTCAAGTTGGATTTGAAATTTCATGGTCAAACACTGTTTCCGAAAAAATAAAATAAAATTAAGGGAAAAGTGATTTTTTTGGCCAAACGAGCCCTTAACTTACCCTAAAGTGACGGACTTTACATATTAAGTTATCTTTGAATAACAGCTTGTTTGGATGGCTGTTACATATCGTATTGTTACTTTAAATACGATATTTGTTTTGATTATTACTTAAATTTTATTGTATCGTATCGTTAAATCCGTCGTTATATAAAGACGAAATGTGTCAATTTATGCAACGACCAATTTGGTGTGGTCGCTTTGTAACCTGTCATTTTCTCTCATCTCACCCTTCATTATAATTAAATAATTTTATTTATCATTTATCCTACCTTTTTATATAATAATTTTTTCCTATATCATAATCTTTCTTTAAAATTGTAAGTTTATTCATCATATTGCTTGTGCGTGATATCATAAAACGATGCAATCTGTTCAAACATTATATTCATCAAACGATACAATACAATTGTTTACCCTAAAAACTCGATAACAATTAAACTTATAGTGTAGTTTTAAGGATACGTGATTTTACCTAATACCAATTGATAACGTAAGATAAGTTATGGAAATTGACAAGAATGTAAAACAAACCAATGCTTAGACAGTGCCCTCAAGCTAATGAACCCTCGAGCTTAGTAGAGTCGGAACAGTTTTAAGAGCAGTAAGTTGATAAACAAGAGAAAGTAAATTGAAGAGAGAATTGTATATTGCTTTGGTCTGTGTCAATGTAACCTTTTACAAATGATAGGGACTCCTCTTTATATAGTAGAGGAATTCTAATTAAGGTATAACTCTAATTACAGAAGTAAATCCCATGACTGGCACAGATAACCGCCCTTGATTTGATCCGTTCCGAGATTTTCGCCGTGATCCTCGACCGGTTACAGATATCTCGCTTTTCCGTTATTGTGCTTCGTTCGAAGTCTATCACATGTGGCCTTGGTTGATATACCTCTCGATTTCGGCAGGCACTTCAATCTTTAGACTCGATGCCTCGTCTTCAAACTCGGGTCTGATTCATTACGAGGCTACCCCCCGATGCAACTCCCTTGTCTCGATCAAGTAGCAAAATCGGGTAGGCCCGATTTTGATCGTATACAGATAATCCCCTCGTTTCTTGGAATGTAATGAGGAGAAATGGAACGAGCCTTCAATTTTATACCTCGATCTATCATGACATCATCCTCGTGATGTAAGCGAGGGAAGCGTCTGAAGCGTCGTGTCGGTACAGTTCCCAAAACTATTAATGAATGTTAGTTGATGGTCGGCCCCCGGCATCTTTGAATCGTCACAACAAACATTATAAATAGGCCTTCATCATAGTTTTTTCAAACTTTACTTTCAAAACTTCCGTTAATCTTCAAAGTTCCTTCAAATTCTTCCAATTTCGCAAGTTCTTCAAATCATGTCGTTAATCTTTTCTCAAAACAACAAATCCCATCTCCTTCTTTCTCAGAATCCACATATAAAAATGGCAAAAATATCAAAAGCCGTTCCTCAAAAGGAGAAAGCTTCTTCATCGCGGTCGGCCGGTGATAAAACGCAGGTGGAGCCCCGCATCGAGGAATATGTTCCCGGGGTGCGATCTCACCTCCGATTTCAAAGTTGAGAAACCCTCGCCGGTCCCTGGCCGATGTGAGCCAGTGTCGAGATATATATATATGCTCGATAACCGTGGGAAACCTTAAGCAGGTGAAGAAAGATTGCCATTGGGAAGACAAAGAGGTGGTGATTCCGACCCCCGAGGAGGACATCACTACTCATGTGAAAGGGTTCTTAAGTGTCTACACTTACCCTTTCACGCGCGGGCCCCGTCGATCCCGTTATCATCGACTTCTACCTTCAATACCAAATAACCCTTGGCCAGATCCATCCTTCTTTCTGGCGTATTGTCATTTTGCTTCGAGTCTTCGTGATCAAGTTCGAAGGGATGACTTTTACCCTCGACCATCTCATTAGATTGTACAGCCCCCGTCTATATCGAGGCGGATTAATAAGGCTTCAGCGTCGGCCCACCAAGGTGCTGTTCTTGAGCATTGACGAGGACAAAGACCGAGGATGGATGCGCCGATTTGTCTGAGTGAGGACTTCTGACATAATCCCGGCCGAGAAGATGCCATTCCCTGAGGAATAGAGCATGAAGCGTAAGTACAAACCCACCAATAACTTTTGTTGATTGTTTTGTTTCCTTTACCTTTTCTCATCAACATTCTTTCTTATGATGCAGCGGTCTCTTAGGTGCTTGGTGCAATTCCGAACCTTGAGGGCTGGGTTCGGAAACCGGCATCGACCTCTTTATACGTCAAGCGCTCATGGTGCGATTTGGCAAAGGGCCGATGGGAGGCCAAAAATCATGGTAAG